ACATAATCTTTAAATTTAGGGGCGGACATTAGCAACTTTTTTTTTTTTGTATGGGGACCGACCCAGTCTAATGTACATATATATGTACATATGTATGTGCATAGATAAGTGTGGGTGGCTAAAATTCTAAATTGTGGCAAATTGCGCGGAGTAGAAAGGGGCGTCTGAGGTGTCTGCTGCCGGTAGCAATCTTTCGTTTTTTTCGCATATCTCTGAAATTTTTTTGTAATCTTTTTTAGAATTTCTTTTCTTGTTTTTTTTTTTTTGTTTTCTTTTTTGCGCTCGCATAGATTTATTGCACCGGCAATTATTCTTGCCTTTCCAGTGCGCTTGAATTGGCAGCATCGGCGTGTTGTTCGCTGAAGCGTCTGTGTGTGTTGATATGTACATATCGATTTGGGGGTATGAGCGCTACAAAAACATACATATGTACATATGTATTTGTCTGTCGCGCTGCCGTGGGGCTCAAACACCTATACATACATACTGTATACATATTTATATACATATGTAAGTTAAATGCATAGGTGATTTAATGCTTTAGTGTATGTAAGCATATACATACATAAATACGAAGCCCTTAGATACATATATCAGACGGAAATTGCATTAGGAAAATTGATAGGATTCCTAACCGAATTAAAAAGGAATTTGAGATAAATTTCAAATATGTGCAAACGAAATTTTTATTGAAATTAAAAATCAACTTTCAGTCAGTGAAAAATGGAACTTAAGATTTTTTACGTTAATAACGCAAATGTAAATTTAAAGCGGGAACAATGCGTATATCTATCATTTTATTAAATTTACACTTATCGTCATCTGCATTAACTATGTATAATGTACATTAGACTGCAACACCCCCCATACAAAAAATCAGCACTCCATTGGAATTATAAAATCTATTATATTTTAAGACTTGCACCGAAAATTTCGGAAAAATTTTAAGATTTACATGACCTGGTGGCCAATTCTGGTGCTATGAAACTGTGAAGTGAAAATTAAAAAATTCAATGAAAATTTAATTTTTTCACTTTATCGTTTCGTTATATTATTTTAAGCGTTTTCCGATCATTAAAGGCTATTCCATTAACATCTAGCAACTAATTTTGTGGTAAATTATTATGGGTTTAATACAATTATATTCCTTATCACCAGATGATGGTTTTGAGAAAAACGCCAAACTTTTCTTTTCACAGCCACAAAACTTTGTGAAAAAAAGTTTTCACAATGAAAAATTTTGACAAATTAATTTTTTTACTTTTGAAAACAGAATCGTGTTTTTATGTCAAGTGATGAAAAATGTTTTCACTTCACGCTTTCACAGAACAGCAATTGGTCCCCTGAGCCGATTAGAAAATACCTACAAAAATTTAATTTTTTATGAATAAAAGTAGTTATTTAAAATGTTTTATGAAAAAAATCCCCTCAGATGACAAAACAAACTGTTTAAAGCTTCAAAAAATTGCATACAAATATTTACAAAATATACATTACTATGCCATCTTTTGTAAGCTTTTATCCAAATACCAGAAAACAAACCTTTTTTAAAAACTTACATACATACATCGGTATAGATAAAAGTACTGTTATTACTTTTGGTATTTCATATAGATACATTTGTATTTATTGGGGTGATAATCCAGGTTTTCCTCAAACCGGTTTGTGAATCTTTGGCGGTTTTGTTTTTAATATTCAGCCTTAGCATGAGTTTCATTTTCCCCGAACCGGTTAACTTTTCACTTTTGATTTCTATGGCTTTACTATGGGCGAATGACAAATTTTCGGGTGAATTTTATTTTTTTTAGGCGAAACTCAGGATAAGGCAGACTTTATTCCATTTACATTGGATCTAGATGCGGGATTTGAAATCAGTCATTTGAAGGTGTTTACACTGCTTGATTCGCATTTCCTTTAACTTCTTATCAATTGAAAAGGGAAAACAAAAACAAAATGAATGTAAACAAACACTGCATGCCTTATATTTTTAACACATTTTTGGCGCAAAAAATCTTCAAAAAAATTATTTGATCAAACTAAACACGTGTAAAAGCTACATTACGCTAGCTTAGAGTGAAAAGTTGCTAAGTCCCTATTTGAAAATTGTACAGGAGAGGAAAAAAACT